ATTAAGGGATTATAGTAGATAGGGGCAACTTTTGGGCCCTAATATCAATAAAAGTAATATTTTTAATAATATTTTAAAAATAAGAACATTTTAAAAATAATATCAAATAAGGGCAAAAGTATTGTTCATCTTCTTCCTCTTGCTAATCATTCATCAGCTCTACCACTCACCGCTGCCTCTGCCCACCTCCACCCACCTTTGCCTCCGGAGGTGGGCAGAGGCAGAGCGGCGGCGACGGCTCTAGTCTACCATCCACCAGCACTGCCTCCGCCGCCTCTACCCAACACTGCCACCTTTGCCCTAAATCCGACCCTAAATGTTTAAAGTCATTTCTTTCTCTATTTAAGCCTTAGACCACCTTTGTTTCGGTCACTCCGTTGTGTGAAAAATCTCCACCGCCTTCATTTTGTAAGTTTGACAGATCTATTGATCTTCGATCTATCTCTATGGGTTCTATCTCGATCTTCTGCTGCACTATTTTTGGGTTGGTAATGGCAACTAAGAGGAGTGTTGGTGATCTCAAGGAGGCTGATTTGAAGGGGAAGAAGGTTTTCATTAGGGTAGATCTGAATGTTCCTTTGGATGAAAACCTTAAGATCACAGATGATACTAGGGTCAGGGTTGTTGTTCCTACCATCAAGTATTTGATGGATCATAAAGCCAAGGTTATCCTCTCAAGCCATCTGGGCGGAGGTGGCGGTGTTGGGTAGAGGCGGAGGCGGAGGTGGGCGGAGGCATTGCCGAAGGTTTCAGAGGCGGCAGTGGGCAGCGGCACTGATGAATAATCTGCAAGATGAAGAAGATGAACAATACTTTTGCCCTTATTTGATATTATTTTTAAAAAGTTAATATATTTTTGAAATTTTATTAATTTTTGAACTTGAACATTTCAGCTTCAGAGAATCAATTTTCATATTGAGTTTTGAGCCCTACTCTCCCTTTGCCTGCCCATAGAAGAAGAAAAAGAAGAAAAATCAGTTCCAACAATTTTAACACATACAACAAACTTTGAGGAATTTCATATCGTGGATTTTGATAAATGCCATATGATTGATTATATACCAATTGATTGGTTACAAGTTCTCTTTTGGTATCATATTCTAACATTTTCATAATCACAAAGTCCTTCAGAAATTATTCTTTTAAAGTATTCCAAACATGCCCTCCTTTTAATTTCAGGCTTACAGTAAGCATATTGGCCCTATAGCTAATTCATTATCAAAGTTAATTAATTCACCTGCCTTTACTCCCAAGAAAATAACTTATACAGAGATGCAAGGTGAAAGTATGCCAATCAGCCTCTATTATATGAACCTCATAAATGATTAATTCACTAAAATACAAGGAAATATGTCATTGAATTCATCCACTTGTCAAAGTCTCCTTACTCAACGTAAGAAAATGTTATGATTCTTTTTTAGGATAAATCTATGATGCTGGAAAGGCATTATAATGAAAGAGCATTGGTCGATCAAAAGCCTCCCATAAATTTTGATTTGATAAATATCACCTGATTGACCACTTTTTATGATATTGGTTATTGGTTATAAGTTGAGATAATACTGTCAACTTAATGGGTCTCAGATGACTAATAAACAAAGTGTTGGTTACCAAATTTATGTCTTTTGTTTGTTAAATTGTGAATCCATTACGAAATTTATGTTTTTTTTTCTTAATTTTGAATCCTTAAATCATTTCTTTTCACTCCAAACCATGTTGAGATAATACTGCCAACTTTGGTTATGTCTTCTGCCTTGGCTCCAAAAGAAGACAAATCACCTGCCTCTAATTTCTTTGTCCACCTTAACTGCAATCTGATAACCTTCACAGTTTTCGGTCCCAAGGCAAACCCCCCGATCTAAAGAAGGCTTCTTTGGCTTCATCTAGGGATTCATTCCCCGTTTCTTCTAGGCTCTAGCTCCGGGTCTGGTCTCGACCTGACCTCCCTCCTTTAATCCTCTCTCTCTCTCTTTCTTTCGAACCTACGAAAAGCCTCTCTAACAAAGTCCTCCCCACCCACAGAAGAGAGTCCCAAGATGGTTTGCACCCTGATATTGTTTTCAACCCTTAAATTAACTCTCTCCTCTCGCTCTAACCGGATGACTGTGGAACAATCTAGCTTGGCCCTCACAGGACTGGGGCCCTGACTCCGTGTCACCCACAACCCGAAAGGGGTGCATGGGAACCGCCTAAGAAGGTTCCAACACCAACCGACCTTGATCTGGAGTCTGGACCAAAGACTGCACCACTAAGCACCATCTCCAGCTATGGCCTGTTCACACAGCTTGGATCCGACCCAACCCAACTTGGGCTTGATATAAATTTTGGTTGTTAAGGCCTTGGGTAGACAAAGCCTGACCCAACCCAACTTGGGCTCACCCCAAGTCAAGCCTACCCGAACAAAATGCATACATGCATGCATTATGTTGATATAAGAATATCTTTTTTCAAATTATATATACATGTAATATAGGGGCAATGCCCAGTCCACCCTTAGCCCTAAATTTCTTGGATTGTGTAAGATTGGGCCTGGGCTCATGTTTCAATATGGGCCCATGTCTAAGCTATCTCTTATTATAAGTGCAAAGCCCGGCCTGGCGTATAATTAATCTTACATGTATAAAATATGCATATTACATTCGTACATAGAATTTGTGGATATTTTTTATTCAAATGTACTGTGGAGCAGGGCCATTAAGCCTAATAAAAGATGGACAAATAAAATTATATCCAACAATCCAATTGCGTTTGACCATACCAATCGCATGCAGCCATGCCCAAGCCCAAGGCTAGCTTGAATTCTATTGGGCTAAGCTCAATTGGGCCTGGGTTGATAAACTTTGGTCTGATCTCATGTTGGATTTGACCTAACCTTGAGGTTTGCACCTTAAAGGCTAGTTTGGAAGCAGTATAAATGTAAATATCTATAGCGTAAATACATACAAAATAATACAAAATATAAGGTTTTACACTCTAGATATTTACATTTATATTTTAGGACTGGGCCTAGATTTACCTTCATCAACATGATCCAATTGACACAGATTTCATGTCAGATTTTTCCCTGCATCGCACAGGGCGCCACTAGCTCAAATTATCAAATATTGAACTGAGTTGTCAAATAATTAGAGAGATTTTAAAGCACCAAAACCTAACATCAATATGTATTCATTTTAGATAATTAAATACACTACGTGTAATGGGCTTAGAGTAGTAATTTTGCATTTTTTGAACAAGTGCAGGAAAGCTTTAGATAATTTTCGATCTTATATTTTCATTTTAGAGTGAGCCCCATTGAAATTGTGACATGATTATAGAAAATGGTAAACAAAACAAATAGCAACACGTCAGCTCCATCACTGAGGTTGTACTGCTTCCGAATTACTTTGTAAATTTTCTAGCAACAACAGACAATTTCTAAATTCTGACAAGCTATAGCAAAAATACCAAAAGGGCTTTGATCAGCCAAAAACCCCATGAATTTTGACAATTAAACACCACCAGATGAGTTATCATCTTTATGAAGCCAGTTGATTGGCTACAAAATTTTCCCGGCCGTATCATGTATTTTTCCAACATCACAGTTGAACCTCTCTTAACTAAATGTATGTTTGACATTTATAAGAGTATTTTAGGTTAAACAAATGAATCAAATTTTCAAAATGATTCTTTTGGTTTTAGTAATAACACATACAAAACGCATAGCAGCTCGGGCGGATGGATGGAAGCCATGTTTTAGAAGAAAACCCTAATGTGCCTTGTGATCAGTACAAGGAGACCGGTGGTGCAAGCTCCATCCTGCCCGCTATGTTTTTCTTTTATCAAATCGTTGCTTGTAAGTAATTGAAATTCGGAAAGATGCATTTGGCAAGCCTATCTAATATAAAATAATTTTCTATTTAAAAATGGTTTAAATTGATATTTTTAAATATTCATAGCACAATCATTATTACTACATTATTTTTTTGAAATATCATTATTACTACATTATTAAAACCAAGCTTTTAAAAACTGACCCAGAAACGAATATTATTAGGGTTAGTGTTTCAATAGTTTCGGTTGAACAGTTCAAATGGTTTGATATAATTCAACTTTAGATTGGAATATTATTAGGGTAAAAAGGGATCATACATACATTCATTATTCTTTTATGAGATAAGAGAGAAGTAGGTAGTTGTTGATTGAGGTAGGTAGGTATTGAAATATTTAAATAATATTTTATTTTTTAATGTTAAATTTTTATAATTTGAATAATATTCAAATTGAATAATCCGTAAAATTATAATTTATATTGTTAGTACATAATTTCGTTATAAATTTTGTAAAAATATAAAATTATTGATAATATGAATATTATTGAGTCTATTGTAATTATTTTTTGTTTTTAATAAATATCTTAAAGTTATTATATAATTTCATCATATTATTTTAATAATTCTTAAATTTGTTAATTCAAATTTTCTCTAGGATAAATAGGAAATAGGGACAATATAGGAGATAAACAAGGATAGGAGATAATTTAGTAGAAAGTAGGAGATAGTGGTGCGACTTGGCAAAATGGGGGAGAGGATAAATAAAAATTAGAGATAAATTGGGAGAAAGTGGGAAATAATTAATGGTGCCACTTGGCTAGACATTAATTAGAAAAGCAATTTCTTGTTTCTCTATCTATTGGTTGTTAGAGATTTCCTTATTGGTTTAATGGGCAATTATGTGGAATTAAAAAAAAATAAAGAAAAGGAAATTAGGAAGGGGATTTTGAGCAAGGAGTGGTGTGGTGACGTGAACAACCTTGAAGGGGCCTGTGCGATGCACAAGATGGCATAGGCAGGTCATCTGCTTAATCAATTGATTGAACATTGAGTAATTGAATCCTGACACGAAAGCCCACAGAACATATATAAACATATATAAACAGTTTTCCACCCACCAGCTAAATTTTTTTAAAACCATCCCATCATACACAACAACTCTTAAACTAAAACACAGAACACAGAAAATAATTAAGTGACTGTTTATTTTAATGGTTCTCATCTTCTTCACTTGGTTGATTATGGGCTTTCTCCAGGTTGCTATTACTCACTGGAGATTTGATCTTTTATGTGCTTGCTTAAGAAGCGGTTCAGTAAAAATAAACAATTCAAGTCACAGTGCTGGTCATGAGGCAGTAACATGTAATCTGAACTTGGAAGAAATTCATTTATTGATGATCATGAACATGGAGATAGAGGCCGGAGAGAGAGAGAGAGAGAGATGAGCTATGGGGCAACACACTCAAAGAAACTCTTCATATTGTAGTTTCCCTCTACAACAGGACTAGTTCCGCTCCACATCTGCTCTGCCATTTGTTGGTATGCTTTATCTGTGAGATGGAAAGCATCCCAAAACACATAGTCATTGGGATTATCACATAACTGATATTCTTTCACTGTTCTTCTTCCACCGCAGCTGGGCACTCCTCTGAAGGGTCCTGTGCCACAACATGCATTTTCTCCTTCCTTGAAACCTTTATTTTCATTAAGCATGTATAGATGTTAGCATAAACTAAAATGAATATCCAACAGAAGAAAATAGAGTAAATTGCGATTTAAATAACATACGTACCATATTTTGAGGGGTACTTCATTCGTTGGTCGATGAAGGTATAGAAATCGTAATTTGAATACTTGAACTCTGGCAGCTGGATCTCCAGCTTTCTGAGGAGTTCCGATAGAGCTTTGTTGTGTAGCTCTGCAAGTGTCAAGGCTTCTTGTAAGCAGGCTCCTTTATTTTCTGGTTTGGTTATTCTCACACCTGGCACACATCCCAATGGACTCATTCTGATGAGACCAAATTTCCTGCCTCCAATCTTGTATATTTCCTACCGAATCAAACACAGCCATCGGTTATTCACACTACCAAAAGAAAAAAGAAGAGATAAAGGACTAAAAGAGCAGACCGCAGAAGAGAGAGAGAATTCTGCTTTGGAGAGTCAAAGTTGTTTCACCCTTACTTGTATCACACTGCTCAGGTTGCCAATCACTGTGCCGACGTATTGCGCCTGAGAAGACTCTGGAATGCTGGAGTTGTTCAGGAAAGGAAACATGTAATCGTTGCCTCCGATACTAATCAAGTAAACTGCTCTTGAGAATAGTTTCTCCGCTTCACCATCCCCCAGTTCTTCTCTCAACCCAATTGCCACCTTCTTAAAGTAGCTCAGCTGCGTATTGAGGTTTATTACCAGTCCTCGAAAGGTTTCAACTAGAGCACCAGCTCCAACAGACGCGAAGTTTGCTCCGTCACTGAACCGATGAACGCCGGGGTGTAGAAACGGTGGAATGAACGGTATGTTTGCATACTCCGCTGAAATGTTTATCTTTAACATTAATTAATTAAGCATTGCATACGGGGGAGAGAGAGAAAGAGAGACCGAGAGAGAGCGAAAGATGAAAATATAGAGGATCATACCGATAATATCTGGAGACAGGCGGCCATCAGAGAAGCGCCCACTAGGATACTGGAATGAAGTTTCTCCATATGGCCAGAAATTTGCCTGGAAAAGAGTGCTGGTGTTGATGTAGTTGTTGTTTCCGGCATCAACGAGGGAATCGCCAAAGATGAAGAAGGGAACACGATTTTTCGGCTTTCCCAGATCATAACCCAGGCTGCAGACTGTGGGAATGATGAGAAGGGCTGCATAAAAAACCAGAGAATACCGGAGAATAGTTAAAGTTGCCATGTGAAATAGTCTAACAACTGATCTCTAGCTGCTTCCACCATTTCATTTTGTTATTATATATATAGTAGCCAAACAGATGTACTGACATTGTTAATTAAAGTAAAGGAGAAAAAGAAAAAAGCTTCGCTGACTTGAAATTTCTCATTCTCGTTTGGTTCAATTAGTCCATACGAAACGAGGTGTATGAGATCGGGTAATCGTTAGCAGATAATACAAAATATGAGATTGCCATCAGGCCAGAAGATTATTTGTTAATATTGTTATTATTTTGTTAATTTGAACATCCATAACAAGACAGCTTCGACATGACTCTCCACCTAAGTTATATATAATAGGTGTTTTTATTGTTCAGTCCACCCATAATCCTGCTTAAAATAAGTGATATTGCATTGATATTCACGGAAGTATTTTTACATTAATTAGTTGCACGAACGAACAGATTTGTTGAACTTGTTTAAATGGGCTTAATTCATTAATCCGGTCAAACTTGCCTTATGTATATATTAAAACTTTAGGAAAAAGAAAACAAGAATTTAAATATTTATATAAAAAATATGGGATTAAATATAAAAGATTTGTATTAGATATTCAACATGGGTGGAATTCAACATATGCTAATTACATATTTATATTTCTTATAAATAAATTGTTACTGATTTTTGTAATGAAAAAGTGCTCTATGCTTTTATAAGTAAAGAAGATTAGGAAATTGCAATTCATATAAAAGATGTTTTATAACTTTTTTATGATGCAACTAATTTATTTTTGAGTGTTTATTACCCAACCTCTTGTGTTTTAGTTAATAAATTGTATATAATTAGTGAATGATTTGTAAATTATAAAATGATTTAAGATTTAGAAATATTATTGAAATAATATAATTAAATTTAAAAAGTATTGGAAAAACATTTCTCAACTACAATATTAGATTATAGGACTAAAAATATGATATGGATGTTTTACGTAAATCTTATTATGATAATATAGGAATTATTATCAAAATAACAAAAGATGAAATTAAAATTTTATTATTTGAAATATATAATATATATGAATCACAAACAGGAGAACTAATATAACTTCCAACTTTTTGCTTATATGCCTTGCACGGGGCAATTACTTTAGACGATCTTCACATGTAATATTTTCAATAATCAAATGAAGAAGGTTACTTCTTATTGCCAAAAAAAGGGTCAAGTCACATTTGTTTCCAATTTTTCTTGACCATGGGCTATTTTTTTCAAATGTCTATTTCTGACTACTGAGTAAATTTTTCCGCAAAACTTTAATACTTTTAGATTATGTCTTATTTAAATGGAAAGGTAGGGAAAGGAAGTGAAAGGTAGGAACCTTTCCTCACTTTTTCCTTCAAACCAAACACAGCCTTAGTGTGTTTTCTACTCTTAGGTCTTCTTCTATTTTTTTGCAAGTTAAGTGCTTCTACGCTATAAAGAAAGTCTTTCTACTGGAGTGCGTAATAGAGAGACGATTGGTGGTTGAATCCTGAGAGCGAAATCTGCTTAAGGACAGTGCTATCACACACCTCGATCAAATTGTTTTCTTCTACTCTTGTGTTGAGAAAATTCAATTTCACAGCCTCACAGGACAAACAAGTATTACAAATTCAGTCAGGGGTATTATCAACTAACGACAACCAACAACATGGGGTCGTGGTCAGCTGACATCTCCCTAGTCCGATATATGGGATGATTATACATCGTGCATTACTCCCCACCTGGGTGAACTTGAGGTAGGTATGCATAGTTGAACTATCAAGTAACTTGATCATCAGAGTCCAGAGTCCGAGAACACTCTTAGGGCCTTTTGGGACCCACAGCCAATGGACTTCGAAAATTACTTTGCTGCCCTCAGCTCTAGATTTGGCAGAATCAGCACCTATTTTGACAACATTTTACCATAGGATTGTTAAAAAAAACTCGTAGGACCTCCATTGATGTCCAAATCACAAGGTCAAATGGCACGGCTTAAAATAAGCTTAAAGTGAATTGTGGTAAGTGCATTTGAGAAGTGGGAGTGGAAACAGAATTGATTTCAAGTGGAAATTCGGTGGATTTTTTTTTATTTTTCTTGTGAGAAAGAAACTTTATTAAGGAATGAGCCCAAAAGACCCAAAACGAAACAAGCCATTCAGGGTGGATACAACCGTACAAAGAAGCCTCATAATCAGAAAGAGCAAAAAGGAAAAGTCTCAATCCAACACTATATCACTCAGAGTCACACACCGACCAGAGTATGGGAGCCTTGTAAAGCAACCAAGACGAACCGCCCCTGGATTTTTATTTAAATATCCTAAAAATAAGATACTACTTATACATCAAATACCGGGAATTGGGTTTCCACGACACAAAGCCACAAACGACTGAAGGAAAAAGTAGTTTATTTAGAAATTCCAATGTTGCAAACTTGGTATTTTCATTGTTGAGAGTCAATTCTTTAGATAGACTCCAATGGAGTCAAGATCCGCACCGCATCGTCCATGGAACCCCACAATCTTCCCCTGTTTCACAGGAAGAGAGAAAGCCGTGCCGTCTGTAGAACCGTAGGGTCCGTATGACCTGGCATTTGTATTGAATTGGATTGATCTTACTACCACGTGCCCATTTTGATTCTTCCAACGTCGGCCAAACGTCCCGCTTATGGAAGTTAGATACTCGTCAGGCCAAGCTATCTGAATCTGCATACATGAAGAACAGCATGTAAGGTGCTTGATTATTTGCTTCTGTGACCCTGTCAAATTTTAGAGAATAGAGAATGAGAATCACCTGATCAATTTTTGATGAACTAGGGCTGCCAAATTCATTTGAAAAGCCTCCAGAGCCGCCCAGGAACTTGATAGAACGGATCACCTCTTCGTGTCCGAGGATTATCTGCTTAATCCCGTCACCATCGGCCATCCAACTCCACCCACCACCACCGTCTCCACCCCATGGCCCCACCGCGATAGGATCTCCGCTCTGTCCCCAAAAGAAAGATTAACATAACAAACCACATAAGCTTTTCATGGCGTAGATTGTAGAAAATGCTTACCATGTCTCCCTGCACTCTACAGATAAATGAATTCCTCTGGTCGTCTCTCTGATTGCCGCACAAGGGTTGTCCATCAGCGAGAGAATAAATAAACTTGGGCCACCGACCGGCCAACTTGTCGGTGTAACTATCCAAAGTCAACTTAAATGTAACATCTCAACGTGTAATGCCAACACCTCCCGTACTTGTCATGGGGAGATGTTGCCAACACACGGTTGGGATGCCTGTCCATCTTCACCGACATTAGATACAAACACAAGATTGCAATGCATTCTTAGCACTCGACTGGTTAAAGCCAACTTAATTGCACCGATATAAGACGGATTTTCCATCAAGTAACCTAAATAAAAATAAGAGAAAATTTTCGATTTATTTTGTACTTTGGGTTTAGTGTCACTTTAATTTTAATTTAAGATTCAAATTGAAATTGGAATTAAAATCTTTTAAATTGATATTAGAATGATTTATTTTTATAATCTCTTCGGTTCAGATATGACCAACCATTGAGTGGCTCAATTGGTACACGTGTTGGATTGTTCTAATCGAAACCGACTTTCACCAGTTTGATGTTTAGGTTCTTATTTGATTAAAGAAAATAAATAATTAATTAAAGACATTTTCATTTCTCAGGAAATTACTTACTTCGGTAAATGTATTTATTTAGGCAAATGTTTTTTGAGAAATATTTATTAGGCTAACTTTATTTATTCATATTCTTTTATTTATAAGATAAATAAGATAAAAGACTGTTTTAACCATAAAAAATATTATCGTGTTGTGAAATCTCAAGGTGTTTATGTCATTTATGCTATTTTATCAATGGCAAAGAGTAACTTATACATGCAAAAATAATCGTGAAGCCCTGCAAAAATCAGGACAAAAAAGTATTTTCAATTTGTTATTCATATCTTCTCTATTAATATCAGATTTGACCCAAGTGTTTGTGAGTGTATTAGGTTCCTTAGAAAGCCATCTTGTTGAAGCTTGAGAGAGTGGTAGCCAAAATTCTTGCCTCATTAAACTAATGGTCCATCCTCCAGGAACCTCCCTCCTTAATTAGAGTTTAACCATCAATCGAGCGATGATATAATCCACTCTGTTTCACAATGTGGAGAGACATCGGATTTGCTCCTCACAGAATTGGTGTCACACCAACCTCACAGAGCATTGGAGGCATACAATGAGAATATCTTCTGTACATAATGTTATCATTCATCGAAGATGTTTTCTAAGGCACAGTTGCTATGCAGAGCCATGCCCTGTGAGGAACAGATTCAAACTCCGGGCATACTCGTTAATATAAAAATAGTTATTGTTTGTCACTTTTTATTTTTCTACAATATGATTAATATGAAATATTAGAGATATACAATTTTTTTTATATTTTATATTTTTTGTATTAGGTTGTATTGTTTAAGTTTTTTCCTGTAACTATAACATTACAAGTGATCCATTTGACCCAATTGATTAAACCACCACGGTTTTGTTCTTGAATTGGTTTAAAAAAACATGAGTTTTATATTGTTAAAGTATTGGACATGGATATGATTAATATAATTTATTGGTGAGAAAAACGTATTAAATATAGGATTAGATGAGAGAATAAGAGTTAATACATTAAATATATATAGGACCTGGTAGAGGGAATTGAATGATATAAAAAGTAGTTATTCAAATTACATTTTTTGTCATCACAATTAAATATGAAATAAATTAAAAAATATAAGTATTTTAGTCAAAAAGAAAAGTTTCACACCTATAGGATGTGAAACTTAAAAGACAACATAGAGAAAAGTTTCACACCTATAGGAATTGGTAAGCAATATAAGAAGAGAGAATAAGCTGACATGAACAACTACTTTAGGGGTAATAGCATATAAGGGTAACTTTTGGGGTTTAATATCAATAAAAGATATATTTAAAAAAAATCAAAAATAGATTAACTTTTTAAAAATAATATCAATAAAGGGCAAAAACACTATTCATCTTCTTCTTCTTGCCATTTGTTCACCAGAGTCGTCGCCCACCAGCACCCGCCACCACTGTCCTCTGCCACCCGTCGCCACCTCCGCCTCCGCCTCCGGCAACGCTGCTAGAGATGGGTGGAGACAGAGGTGGCGGCGGTGGCGGGCGGTGGCGAACGGTGGCTCTGGTGAACAAATAGCAAGAAGAAGAAGATGAACAGTCTTTTTGCCTTTTATTGATATTATTTTTAAAAAATTAACCTATTTTTGAAATTTTTTTAAATATATTACTTTTATTGATATGCCCTTCTATGGTAGGGCTAAATTAAAAAGACCTCCTGGTACTATGGGGTTAGTGACAATTAACCCCCTGAATCTTATTTGTGACAAAGATCTCCTAAATTTTCACTTTGCTACAAATGACAAAATGCATTAAATTACCAAAACCTACCTGAATTTTTCTTATTTTCTTTTCCTTGCCCTTGTGGTCAAGTCGGTGACAATTAGCCCTTGGTCGTTAATTGAGCCAAAAATACCTCTATTTTCTCCAAATAAAACCAGCTAAAATAACATGAATCATTTCATTAACATAGAAAAACAAGTTTCTTAAAATTTCCTGTTTCATTTCACTAACATGAATGTCTCTCTTCATCTTAAAATATAAAAATTACCTACTCATTTTCTCCAATATTCAAAAAAAAACAAATGAAACCTTAAATTTATATCTATCAAAAAAAAAAAAACCTCAACCATTTCATTTAAATATTGATCTAACCAGAAATCTACAATGATATATTGGAGCAATTAAGAGGATTTCAATATTATATTTCGAAAACTAATTAAATCATAAATCATTCAAATAAATAAAAATGGATAATTTGGAGATTTAAAAAATTTTAAATAGTTGAACAAGAATCTTTTTCAAAGTTAACTAATAGAACTTTAGTGGAGAGGGTATTTCTCACAAAATGAAAGTTCATGGGTATTTGCCTTTTCTTTTCTTTTGTTATAATTAAAGGTGTAAAACGGGCCATGTCGGGCGGCACAGCACGACCCATGGGCGGCCCGTGGACCATCTCAGGCCGTGCCCCCCTCCCAAGGAAAACTTGGGGGATCGGTCTAACACAGCCCACGGCCCAAGTCCGTGCGGACCCATGCTGCGTTGCAGGCCGAGCTTTCGGCCAGGTTGGGCCGTGCATCAGGCTAAAGCCATTTATTTAAAAAATGACAAAAAACTTAAAATTGCTTATATGTACAATAATTAAATAAATTAGTATAATAAAATTAAAAATTATTTATTTTATTAATATATTATATATTATATATTATTATATAATTATAATTTATATAATATTAATATAAATATATAAAATATATATATGGGTCATGTTGGGTCGGGCTGCGGGCTGGGCCATGCTAGCATGCGGGTCACAAGCAGCATGGCCCGCTCGGTCGTGCCGTGCGGGCCCGACCCGTGGACCTAAAACTCTAGGCTCAGCACGACCCGCATAATCATGTCGGGCCTGGCATGGCCCATGGACCATCGTGGTGGCCCGGCCCAATTTACACTTCCAGCTATGATAATGAATAACAACCCATGGTTTTTAAAACCGACCCGGTGACCAAACCGGTCAGGGGTCCAGTTACCGGTTCAAACGGTCCAAACTCAAATGGTTGTCCTGTTCTAACAAAAAAAATTAAAAATTAAAAAAAATTGAAAAACAATCAAAATTGCTCGAATGGTTAACTGGCCGGTTCAGCAGTTTGCTGACCAAAATCAACAATTTGGGGGGGAAAAGCAGTTTTGGGGAAAAACCGGGAACCGGTCCGGTCCGGTTTTGAAAACCATGTTAACAACCATTACGTGATCAAGAAGTAAGTAAAATTCAGAAGTAGAATTAAAAGCGATGCATTTGACAAGTTTTTTCTTTTTCTTTTTCTTTTCTAAAGATCGGCGGAATTAATGCATAAAGTCCATTAAAACAAGCGTTCAGGTTTGTTTTCAACAAATCTGGCCGTTCACATGCATGTAAAAACACTTCCATGAATGTCAATGCATATCGCAATTTCTAATGGAATATATTTAATTATCAGGAGTTGCCTCGTCATGCATATAAACTAAATAACAAATAATCTACAGGCCCGATGGCAAAAATCTCATATTTTATATTATCTCCTAAAGATTCGATGAACTCATCATGCACCATTGCGTATGGAGTAATGACTGAAAGAGAAATAAAATGAATGATTCAACCTATATATTAATTCTATCGTCACAACGAGAAATTTCTAGTCAATGAAGCATAGCATTTTCTTTTTCTTTTTTAATAAGTGAAAATAAGAACTTCAACTAACAAAAGGATGAAGAGACAAACTGATCGATACAAGGAAGAATTTCTTTTTATCCCTCTTATACAACGATCAACTCTGCACTTCTGCTACTATATTCTATATATATAATTATAACAAACTGAAACTGTTCCAGGAGAGATCAGTAGACTACTTTCCATGGCAACGCTAACTACTCTCCAGTTCTATACAATCTTTCTCATCATTCCCACAATCTGTTGCCTGGGTTATAATCTAGGGAAGCGGAAAATCGTGTGCCCTTCTTTATCTTTGGCGATTCCTTCTTAGACGCTGGAAATAACAACTACATCAACACCATCTCTTTGGGCCAGGCAAATTTTTGGCCATATGGAGAAACTTTATTCAAGTACCCCAGTGGGCGCTTCTCTGATGGTCGCCTATCTGCAGATTTTATTGGTATGATCCATTTACATTTCATTTTCCTTCTCTCGATCGATCGTTGAAACAGATAAAATTACCAATAAATATGATGACTTGTTATATATATTGCAGCGGAATATGCAAACTTACCATTCATTCCACCGTTCTTACATCCTGGCGTTCATCGGTTCAGTGACGGAGCAAACTTCGCCTCTGCTGGAGCTGGTGTTCTAGTTGAAACCTATCCAGGACTGGTAATCAACCTCAAAACGCAGCTGAGCTACTTTATGAAGGTAGCAATGGATTTGAAACAGGAACTAGGAGATGATGAAGCCAAGAAACTGTTATCTAGAGCAGTTTACTTAATTAGCATCGGAGGCAACGATTACGCTTATCCTTTCTTGACCAACTCCAGCATTCCAGAATCCTCACTACATGTGGGCAAAGTGATTGGCAACTTGAGTAGTGTCATACAAGTAAGACTGAAAGAACTTCGGCTCCCTTAGAACCCTCTAATTTCTAAAAGGGGATTAATATTTCTTCTTCTGTAGCAGTACCCTTTCATCTTTCCTTTTTTTTTTTTTTTTTCGGGGGGGAGGGAGTAATCTGGAAAACCAGTGGTTGTATTTGATTTGGCAGGAAATATACAAGATAGGAGGCAGAAAATTTGGTTTCATCAGAATGGGGCCGTTGGGTTGTTTGCCAGGAATGAGAATAATCAAACCAGAAACTAAAGGAGGTTGCTTAGAGGAAATCTTAACACTTTGCGAACTACACAATAAAGCTCTATCGGAACTCTTCAGAAAACTCGAGACCCAGTTATCGGAGTTCAAATATTCAAATTACGATTTCTATACATTCCTCGACCAACGAATGAAGTACCCCTCAAAATATGGTATGTTATTCCAATCAAAATTTCTCCTGTTTTCTTCCGTTGAATATATATATAGGCCAACATCTGCACATGCTTAATGAAAATAAAGGTTTCAAGGATGGAGAAAGTGCATGTTGTGGAACAGGACCCTTCAGAGGGGTCCCCAGCTGCGGTGGAAGAAGAACAGCGAAAGAATATCAGTTATGTGATAATCCCAATGACTATGTATTTTGGGATTCTTTCCATCTTACTGATAGAGCATATCAACAAATGGCGGAGCAGATGTGGACCGGAACCAATCCTGTTGTAGAAGGAAATTACAATATGAAGAGTTTCTTCGAGTTTGCACCATAGCTCATCTCTCTCTCTCTCTCGTGAGAGATATATAATAATACAATATGGGGCACTCCTCCAGCTTATGTGTTGTTCATCAATAAATGAATTGAGCCAAATAAATATATGATTTCTTCCTTCTACTGCACGCTACCCTGTGTGTCATCAACACTCTAAAATGAATTATTTATTTTTCCTGAATCGCTTCTTAAGAAAACGTATAAAGGACGAAATCCAGTAGGTCCAAGACTTGGGATAAGAAAAGAAGAAAAGAAAACACTTTGTGGACATGAAATTCGGATAGCTTAATTATAAACAGAGTGATGGAAGTAATTGCTCTCATGCGAGGTTTTGAAAATGTGTTGATAACCATTTGGCCCACGAACCAAACATACTACTGGTTCGATTTATCACCCGGCCTGCCTTTTTATAAAATAAAAACGTTGATTTAGTCAAAGCGGCTGATCCTGGCAGTTGAACAGGCTGATCTGGGCAGCAGTTTGTGGTAATTAAATATTAATTTTAATAATTTTTATTTAAAAACTGACACTACTGTCATATTTCATCAATTATTTATGTTTTTTCTTTTTAATTTCATTTTGCAGGAAATCCCACAATATTGTCATATATTTCATTTCATGTCGGGTGTTGTTTGACTATTATATTGAATACCTTACCAACCCGCTGGTTGCCACCTTGCACGAGTTCTTCTTCTATCTGACATTAGGCGCTGGGTATAGTTGAATGAATGGATATCCACTGCCTTACCTTCGAAAGCAACCTTGCAACTGAGAATTAATCCACAAGAAGCTACTTAATGAACCAAAACCTAACACCCATGTATATTCAAGTTCACATTTGCGCCTCACCGAATGCGCTCCACACATACATCTAGGGGTGTTCATGGTTCGGTTAATCGAACCGTGGGGTATGTTTTCAAATTGAATCGACCTGATTTTTTTTAAATATTCAAATTGAAACTGAGTCGATGCAATTGATGAATCAATGAATCGGTGGACCGGTTAATCATGGTTGATCTTTCAGTTTTTTATGCAGTTAAAACAAAAATAAAAAAATAAAATTATCACAGTCGTTGACTCGGTGGTTGCTGTCGGTGCCAGACCGGTTGGTGCCGGTGGTTGCTGTCAAGTGTCGCCTGAAGTGAGAACTTGAGACTTGAGAAATGGCGCCTGGCAGAGATGCAAAAAGGAGAGATGAGAGAGAAGAGAGATACAAATGGCATTGGACACTTGGACCGTTGGTGCTTGCTTGCCAGCGAAATGGTGACCGATGTTGCCGCTTGGTGTTTCCGTGCTGGTGGCCTGGTTGGCATGGGCTGCGCGGCAGTCTGGAGTGAGGAAAAAGAAGAGTCAAAGAAGACAAGAAATTAAAAGAGTAAGAGAGAAAAAAGAGAACTGAGATCTGAGAGAGTGAGAGAGGCAAAAGAGAAAAAGAGACTAAGAGAAAAAAAAGAGAAGGGGCAGTCTGGGAAAAGGCAAGACTGCCGATTTTCCAAAAAAATAAAAATATAATATTATATTATATATATATATATATATAAAAGTGTATATATATTGATTCGGTTAACCGCCGATTTTTTTAAATGGTTAACCAAAACTATCAATTTCGATTAATCGATTTTTTAAGAATATACATCACCCCTATATACAACTTCCATTGGGATGTGTTGTCGGGCGCCAATGTAATATCTTCAGTGGATCCCATTTTGTTCATTTGCAGAAAAGCTTTTATTTAAGAGTATTTTGGATAAGGGAAAATAACAAGTATATTCATGCTCTCATGTATGATTTGTCACTTCAACAGGTCCCATTTTGTTCAATTCTATGGGGAATTTTGGATTTTGGGAAATTAGGTATTTGATGAATAATCAAACATGGTTTTTAAAACTGAACTGGTGATTGAATCGGTCATGGGTCTGGTTACCGGTTTGAATGGTCCGTCCATTTGACTCAAATGTTTGGCCTGTTTTAACAAAAAATAAAAATAAAATAAAATAAAATAAATAAAAATTTTGAAAAACGATCAAAACCATTCGAATGGTTCAGACGGTTCAAACGGTTAATCAGTTGGTTCAGCGGTTTGCTGACCAAAATCAACAATTTTGGGGAAAAAAACGGGTTTGGAGAAAAACAGAACTGGTTAGGTGACCAGTTCCCGATTTTTCCAGTTCGACCGTCCGGTCTGGCTTTGAAAACCATGTAATCAAATATTAATTGATACCAGTGCAATGCCTAGATTGGTACTAAAAATGTTCTATATTCCTTAAAGTTGTGTTTGATTTGAAGGAAAAAGTAGGGAAAAGTAGGAAAATCTATAGATAAATTTTCCAAACTTTCCCTGCTTTTCCTTCAAATCAAACATAGAGTAAGAGAGCATATAGGACATATTTCATTTTGGATAAAATGTGCATCTCTCTAATGAAAAGATAAACAAAGTTACCATAAGTTAAATATTTGGATTAGAGATGAATTAGCCAAATTTATCTGTTGATTCTATGCTAACAATTTTCTAAAATAATTGCTTTATTGTTTTAACTTTTAAATTACTTTTAAGTTTTTTTACAATTGACATTACTATAGGAATGACAACGGGGCGGGTTTGGGGTGGGGCACCCCTCCCCGTCCCCTCCCCAAAGTCACGATACGTTGCCCCATACCCGTCTTGTCCCGATGGCAAGGCAGGTTTGGGGCAGGGCATACATTCCCCATCTAGGACGAGGAATTCCCGAATTTTCCCCATTCCAAGACAATTACTTAAAAATTATCTATTTTATAGACAATTTATACATAGGATATAGGAATTTGAGGGTATTTTAGAATTGAATTATAATACTTTAGAGATAATTCAAAAATAAAATTATGCGATCCTAGGATTTTAAAATTTTAGTGAAAATTTAGAGATATTTTAAATATCAATATTAAACCTAGAGATGTTTTATTAATTTACCTTCGGGTTCGGGGCGAGTTCGGGGAATTATATACAAAACTCATACCCACCCCGTACCCGGTTTGGGAAAAAACTATTTTCCCCGTCCCCGCCCCATCCTTGTTTAGGGTCGGGGAAAACCCACCCCGTTCGGGGTGGGGCCCCGGTTTTACGGGGAAAATTGCCATTCCTACATCACTATTAAATATTAATGAAAAAAATGAAATATCAAATTTACCCTTCACTATTTCTCAAATTTTCAAAATAAAATTCAACTTATGAAAATTTTGAAGAACTGCAATCTCTTTCCCCTTTCGTCCTCAAGTTGTCTCTCTCACTCCCTCTTCTTTCTTCTTCCCCCTCACCATGCTGCTGTTGCCACCATTACGGGCCAAAAGGACTGAAAACCGTAACAACAAAGGTGAGACGAGTTCCGGAGGTGGTAGCGTTCTATCACTCACTGATGTGAAGAGATTCAAGAGAGAATGTAGCCTCGGGGATGAAAACCGCAGCAGCAAAACGTCGCGTTTATAAACATCGAAGATGTGGCCCCTTCGTCAAGTGGTTCGATGATGAGCTTTCTTACCTGGTAGATGAAAGGTAAGTCCTCAAGCACTTTGATTGGCCGGAGCACAAGGCTGACGCATTGCAAGAGACTGTGTTCGGCTACCGTGATCTCAAGAAGCTCGAAGATTCCTTCCGTAACAACAGTCACCAACCTTGCAGTCTGGCACTCAAGAAGATGCAAGCCCTACTAGAAAAGTTAGGGCATGGAATGTTCTGATGCTGCGTTTGGAAATGATGTAAATATATAGTGTAAAACTGTTTATATAAATTGTAAAATTGGATTAGTTTTGTGTTACAACTTTTAGTTGTAACAGATACAAACATGAATTCCAATAAAGCATATGTTTTTTTTTATCAAAAGCCCACTTGAATACAAATTTATTTTTTTTTTTATTGATGTAATTTTACATCTTATTATTAAGGTAAATATGTATTGGTCTATCATTTATCAATGCATAAATGTAATATTACCAAACATAAACAAAAGTGAACCAGAGTATATATATACCCTGAACCGGGATTTACACTCCATTTACATCGTTTCCAAACACAGCCTTGATTTCTTTAGGCATTTGCTTGCCACAGTTCGTCGTATTGTTGGGTTCCACACTCTCTCACTGTGCTTGCCAAAACAGGGGTGGTTCTTCCTATTGTTGGTATATAATATAACATTTTCATGGTTCTGCACTCTCTCACCTAAGCATCCAAATTTGAGAAATTTGCATTGTAAAACTGAAGCATCTCTTTGGTATTCTACAGGTTTGTTTTGCCAACGCTAAACCGGATTCACGATGTGTAAATTCTTTGTTTAATCCTGGAATGTGCACAAACCTCCAGCGAACTAATGTACCCGAAATGCAAACCTTTCACCTAGAAGTATAAATTGTTCTTCCTCTGAACCACCACTAACAGCTTCCAGCTCTGAAGATTCTCTCTTCATGTACTTCATTGCTAGTTTCATCTCCGTCTTGTCGCTGCTAGTCATCGCTGACTGCATCTCCTCACGCCTGCTCCAGTTCTAGTAAATTAAAGGCTTCCAAAGATTTGGATTTAGGGTATTTTAGGTTATTTGAAAAATATATTAGTCACATGATGTCACATGTGATTAACATTAAGAGTAAGAATAGGGTTAATCAATTAGTTAAAGCACAAGAGTAATTTAAGAAATTTGCTCTTTTATATTATAATACATCTAATCTTATACTTTTATATAAAATTATAGAGTTTTGAATTAATACAAAAATTAAATAAAGAAAGAATTAAGAGGGTATTTGAATTAGTTATGAACGAGTCAAATTAAAAATTTCACCCCAAAATAATACTCTCAAATACGAAAGAATTTTGTCAAACAACTTAAAACTCCATATTAGACTAAAGATGGATCCACCACTTAGCAATGATGATATGGAGCTTAGGGTGGAAAATGACAGAGAGGTTAGTAAACGGTTGAGTTTGGAGATTTTGGGTGGGGAAGAGAAAGCTTGCATGCTTTAATTTCCTTGAGATGGAAAAAAATAGCATTTGGATCCTTGGTACATAGTTTGACAAAAGAAAAGACCTCCGCAGATGTAGATGATGGTAATTGGTAACTCCACATCAGCTGATTATTGTGTTCAATCCACCG